TCAGAGATAGACAAAACATTTTAAAAAAAAGGCTTTTACTATTACACTATCGAGGTATGAAGTATTAGTTAGTCCTGAGAAGTACATATAATAATAGGTGAAAATAAATATTGAATTCAAGGGATGGACGGACGGACGGACGGACGGCAACAATACAGGAAAATCGGTAATAAAAGAAGTGGTACTTTTTTATCACAGGAAACTTGGAACGCTCAAGCAAAAACATAAATTGTACATCAAAAGAATGCATCTCCGAGATCACAGTTAGATTGTAATTCAACACAAAGTAAAGTTTAAAATCATCAAACTGAAAAATAAAAATGTGTCATAGCTTGAAGTGTAGTGTACTCCTTGTGGAGACTCCCTCATGTGATATGCTGTATTATTGTCAGTTTTATTTTTTTCTTCATATTGAATTTTTAATGAAAGTAATAATTTGTGTCACGACACGGCAGAATCAGGCGCTCGTCAATTTTTGGGCAAGTGGAGTTATTGATATCATCTTAAAGTTAGTTCATTTGTCTATCTTTGGATGAAAAAAAAATCTGTTTATCTTTAATAGAAGTCGTGACATTTGCTAATGAACGAGGTGGGGGGTCACATGGTTTCTGGGGCAAAGCTAATGAAAAAATGGTCGTCAAAGATTAGTTATTTTCCTTAGCCTGAGAGTCTGTGAAAACTGAAAATTTACATTTTTTGTGCCTTTAATCATGGTTTTTCAGTAAAATCCACAAAAGAAATGTGTTCTGTAAGGGGCATGAAAGGTGTTGAGCCAAAAAACCCAAAAATTTGATAAAAATTCACGAACCAGTGGAACAATGCCAGTTTCTTCACTTAGATTATTTTTATGAGCGCCTGATTTCACCATGCTGCTTCACATATATATATAGATATATATGTATAATCTAATTCTATGTATGTCTCCAAGTGTTTCTACCGATCGAGTACACAGAAAAATGTCCCACTCCAACTATAAAATCTCATCTGATCTTTTCTAAGCTTATCTTCACCCGAGAAAAACTTATCCCTTTGAGTCCTGACCCCCTTAAATTCTGGTTTACCCTAAAGTCCCAACTTGATATGGAAAATTGTAGCCATTCTATCCTTTATTAAAAAAAACCAAACTCACTAAAACAGAAACCTCTCTTAGAAAACCACGCTAAAATGGAATTACAACTTGTGAACAAAGAACAGGAATTCTCGTTGATTTAAAATAGTTGATATAAAAACCATGAACATTAAGAACAAAATGCGCTATGCATATTCAGCAATGATAAAAATTGTGACCCAATCACTAATTTGACGATCGAAAGGGTTAATGCATTACCAGTAAAAAGACACTAACTTTCAACAATAAGGATAAACTTGCTTTTTAAAAATGGTTAGCAATTGCGGTTTCCTTGGACCTTACTTTTTCGATCCAGAAAATGATTTCCTAGGACAAAATTCCTTTACATCATCCATCACATGTCCAATTACAACAACCAGAAATCTGCTTAGTCTCGACAGCTTCAGATGTTCCTAGGTATACAGTGGAAGGGACAGCAAACATGAATATACATGTGTACTTAATCAAGAAATGAAATTCAAAACAACAAAAGATACATTTCTCACAGAGTGATAAAAGAAAAATATAAGAAATAAATGAGTCACGGCGCGTTGGAATCAAGCACTCGTCAATTTTTGGCCAAGTGGAGTTATTGGTATCAGCTTAAAGTTTGTTCATTTGTCTTGATTTGGATGGGAAAAATACCAATCTACCTTGAATAGAAGTCGAGACATTTGCCATTGGAAGACGTGGGGGTCGCCTGGTTTCAGAGGTAAAATTAACGAGAAAATGGCCACCAAAGTTCGATGACTTTCAAAGCTTGACAGGCCTTGAAAATGGAAAATCTGCAATTTTTGTGCCTTAAATCAGCCTTTTTAAGTGAAATCCACACAAAAATGAGTTTTTAAACAGACAAAAGGTGTTGAACCAAAAACCAAAAATTTAAGAAAAATTTTCCAATTGGCAGAAAAAAGCCGGTTTTCTTCGAATTCCGTATATTGACGAGCGCCAGACCTCACCACGATGCCTCACAAAACACAAAAGACAAAAATTATACATTTGTAAATTAATTTTTTTTTTTTAAATCTGAAAAAGCATCTACTTTGGACAAACTGACTCTTGTCTGCAGCACACAGGTACAAGATGCGATCTGCCAACTAAGTAGTTCAACAGATTGAAACAACAGTATTAAGTAAGTAATTCAGCAGACTGAAACAACAGTATTAAGTAAGTAATTCAGCACACTGAAACAACAGTATTAAGTAAGTAATTCAGCAGATTGAAACAACAGTATTAAGTAAGTAATTCAGCAGATTGAAACAACAGTATTAAGTAAGTAATTCAGCACACTGAAACAACAGCATCAAAGAGGAGACAGGAGCAGTAACAGCAGCAGGAAGAAAGTAACTGAACAAAAAAAAGGAGACAAAATAATATAATATAATAGTAATCATGAAATTAATATTAATAATATAATAATAATTGTGATAATAATAATATAATAATAATTTGATAATAATAACTGCATTCATATAGCACATATCCACACTCTACAGCATGCTCTATGTGCTTTACAACTACTATTACCCCAGCAGACCATAGAACTCTCAGAAACATTCTCAGTTTCCTGGGAAGCATACAATGCAAGCTGCAGATTTCACGTGATCAAGCACTGACACACTGACAAGATCTTTCACTGTCTATAACCGGGTACCCTTCCCAAATGGGTGAAAGAAGGAAAATTCATATAAAATATCTTTCCAAAGGACACAATCTCAGGCCCCTGGCACGATTCGAACCCACGACCTTACAGTTGTGAATACGAGAGCCTAACCACTAGGCCACTGACGCCACAACAAAATGTCAAGACAGCTCAATTATCTTTCTGCAAGTGTATTCTCGATTCATTAACCACTGTGCGACCTCAGTACTTTCTTCTCATATCTCCATTTTTAATAACAGAATAACAGTGAAAACAGTTCATAACAAAGAGTGAGCTTAAGAAGAAGTCACATTTTCACTGGTAAAAAAAATGGAGATATGGCAAGTAAGCACTGAGGTCGCGACTGGTTGCCTTGACTCATGTCTTTGTGACTCCTGAGTTTCATCTACAAAATCAGTCGATGAATAAAAGAATTATTTCATAACAACTGAAACAAACAGTACACATCTCACTGCAGGAAGTAAAAAGCACTTGCCCATAACTAGATATATAAATCAACAAATGTTTAAGAAGGTAACACAAGAGAACTCAGAAGACATTATAATGAACTGGAAAAGGCTGCAATTTGGGAAACTATTTCTTTCATCATGAAATTAGTGTAGATAAATTCAAATAAAAAAACAACAAAAAACAAAAGTGATTATTTATAATTCATACAAGTGTAAGAATGTTTTGATTACTAACAGTCATGTATGGACATCAGGAGGAGAAAAGAAGTGATGGATTATAAGATCTGATATTATATCTTTCGGGAAATGAACATGCCCAGCAATATCAACTATAGGTGAATACCTGAACGGATACACAAACAACAAGATCACTTCAATTCTACTAAAATACCTGTGGTTTTTTAAAAATCATTCCTTTTCATAGAAAACAGTTGTTCACAAACTAATATCATCGGTACAGCAGAGAGGAAAAACAGTTGCGGTGATTACTTGAGCAGACTCGTGACCAGAAACTACCAGAACCAGACGGAGAGTATCACAACACAAGTACACTTGAAAGTGTAGAAATTATACCAGCAGTCTATTACATGTATGTGTAATCCAAACAACGGTCCTCTGACTCCTATAGGGCAGGAGCAGTGAGCATAGAAATGTAAAGTGTTGTTTAAAAAAAAACCAAGACCTCGAATCACTTTCTGTATTAAAGTATGATTCACAGAGAACTCACAACACTTGAAGAAAAAAGCAACAAAAACCCCACACATTTTCGGTTTTCTCATTAAGAAAAAACCCACCAAACCCCCCCCCAAACAACGAAAAGTTGCTGACTAAATTGGTTTCACCACAAATGGACTTATACTTATACCCTTCAATTCAAAGGTGTGAAGTATCAAAAAGAGCCAATAATAAGTATCATGACTATTATAGTCATCATTATCATCATTCAATATTTTTGTCATCATTATCATCAATCATGATTATTGTTATCATCATTAATCATAATAATTGTAATCATTATCATTCATCATAGTAATTGTCATCATTATCATTAATTACAATTATTGTCATCATTATCATCAATCATGATTATTGTCATCATGATTATAATCATTATCATCATCATTATCTGCTGCAATAAGAGAGAGTAGCAAACACCAATAGACAGCATGAGGCAGTATTAGTGACGTCAATCAAATCTGATACCTGTTGAAAGAAGTATGAACTCTTGTCAGGAGCTAATTGGTGATGACAGATTATTATCTTTTACCGTCTTATATACGGCGTCAGAGGAGACTAAATACAATTAGCCACTAGAGCGCTTCGTAGTTCATGAGATTACAATGACAATGACAATGACAATGACAATCTTTATTCATCTCGCAGGGAGAAATTTGCAGTTATAGGAAATTGGCACTCTTGGCTCCTGCCAGTGTAAATGAAAGGATTTGAGATACAGAAAAGTGTTATGTATCTGTAAATTGTCGAAGAAAAAAACTGAATCAAAGTAATTTAATGTCTGCAAATTATAATCTGCATTACGTAGCACATATAGATGCTCTATGCACTTAACGACAATCATCTTTACCCAAGCAGACCCAAAAACAAATTGATACACAACAGCCACTCCGCACGAGCGTAGTCTTTACTTCCTGTTCACTCGAGACTGGATGTTTCAATTCTCGAGTATTATATAAATTAATGTCACACAGCGATAGTTTAATTGTAGCGAGTGCAAATAGGTTAACACAGTCCTTATTGACACGATATAATTAACACATTCTTTTTTCTCAAAATAAATTAATGATTGTCATTGGTGATAAAAAAGGATTAAGCGATAAAATTTTCACTGGAAATAATACAGAAATGTCGACAGTGTGTGGGATAAAGATGTCATTAATGTAAAATCTAAAAAAAAAAATGGTAACAAAATGTCTAAAAATAAGACCCGTCATTAGTAAGCACTGACACAGCAAACTGCAGTTTCAGCAGAAATCATATTGGAATGTGTAAATTGAGCAATGCAAGAAAACAAGTTTCAAACATCAGTTTTACTACCATGAAGCAATACGAGAAAACAAGTTCCAGACATCCCCGTAGTACTACCAGGTAGCAATATGACAAAACAAGTTCCTCACATCATAGTAATACTACCATGTAGGAATATGATAAAAACTAGTTTCAAACATCAGTTTTACTACTGTGTAGCAATATGATTAAATAAGTTCAGATATCACAGTAGTACTACCATGAAGCAATATGATATAAAACGAGTTCTTAAATCATAGTAGTTCAGTCATGCAGAAATACGATAAAACAAGTTTCAAACATCACAGTGTAACTATCATCGTGTAGCAATATTATGACTAAACAAGGTCCAAACATCACAGTGGTACAGTCATGCAGAAATATGATAAAACTAGTTTCAAACATCAGTTTTACTAGTGTGTAGCAATATGACAAAACTATGTTTCAAACATCACAGTGGTACTACAGTGTAGCAATATATGACAAAACTATGTTTCAAACATCACAGTGGTACTACAGTGTAGCAATATATGGCAAAACAAGTTTCCAAAATCATAGTAGTACTACATGTTGTACCCTGTGTAAGAATGAAACAAAAATTCTTACTGGAGAAGTAATTTGAGGAGCACAGTAGAAGACTCTGAACGCCCACAAATAATTAATAAGTAAATATATTTTTGACAGTAGTCTGAGAAAGTAAAAGAAACGTATTGCACCCTCATTGGTCAGAAAGCATACGACAGCAACAAAACAGGGTGGGTGGGTGGGTGGGTGACTACATTAATCGGCACGCTTGACTCGACGTCTTCTTGCCAGACATGCTTCGTTGACTCAGCTTAGGCCGGCGAGGGGGCAGCTGCTGTGCACCGGCGGTCTTGCTAAGTTTGACCGCTTTCTGCTGGCCCTCCGGTGACTTGCTGGACGTTGCGGAACTCTCACCTGTGTCTGGTCGGGGGTCGGTCACCACGTTACTGCTGGCCGCGGCAGGGGCAGCCTGGGAGACCTCCACTGGAGACAAAGCAAAACATGTGAACTTTTAGTTTTGTTTTAGTATAAGTAAGGTTTTACGATGATCGCAACTGCATAAGGTCATATGAGCGCCAAGGGGTGGATGTCAACAGAGAAGTCCAAACGGGGAATCAGGCTTACTCTGTTTACCTCTCTAGCCTCAACAGCATAAAGTCTGCTTTGACTATCAAGGCTCCCCGGAAACAGCGGGTCACAAGAGTGTGACAAACATACAAAAGAGGTAGAGGTAAAATGACGATAGTAAGGATGAGGAAAGAAAAAGCAGCAGTCAGTAGCACTGCCCTGGGGGTGGGGGTGTTCTGTACAGGTGATTGTCTTGGACAGGTTCCAAGTTCAAACACATTTATATACTTGTAGTTGAGGTGTGTGAAAGTGTGCTGATGTGTCTTGTTTTCACTATTGTCCCTATAAGTAAGTGTAAAAAATGTATAGCTGAGAAAGTTCTATATGACTCAATTTTTTAAATTATTAGATCTACATGAAATGTTTTTTCCTTGTGTGCATGAGCTTTATTCTCAGTATTCATGTCATTGATGTAAAGCGCTCGGAGCTTATACTTAGGAAAGAATGTTATATAAATGAAAAGTATCATTGTTATCGACGATAAATATGAGCTGGAAAAAAAATAAATCAAAGGGGTTTAGCCAAAAAACAAAAATTTGATAATTTGATCTAACTGGTGAAAAAGTGCCATTTTCTCAGATTTCATTATTTTGAAAGCAAAATTATCAGCATTTTTTTGGTAAGTTAAGCAATTTTTAAATTGAATTTTTGTTTTTTGGCTCAACACCTTTTATGTTCACTTAAAAACATATTTCTGTGTGGACTTTACTGAAAAATGTAGACTAAAGGCACAAAAAATGTAAATTTGCAGTTTCCAAAGACTCTCAAGCTATGGAAGTCACCAAACTTTGGAGGACATTTTCTTGCTATTTTTACCTCTGAAACACGGTGATTCCCACCTCCTTCAACTGCAAATATATCGACTTTTATTCAAGATACATGGATATTTTTTTATGAAAAGAAAGACAAATGAACATGCTTTAGGATGAAATGAATATCTCCAATTGGCCAAAAACCGACGAGCACCTCATTCCATGGAATCATGACACAATCATAATATAATTTCAACAAAGTAACTTTACCCCAACCATTTTGACAATTGGACAGTTTTCCTCCGACCTACCTTGTTGAGACCTCTCCACGGTCGGTTTCTCGGGCTCTATCTCGAGGCCTTTGTCTTCGGCCGCTGGGTTGATCTGGAGCTGGTCCTTGTACTTCTCTTTCGTCTGCGTGAACGACGACCCCTCGTGCTGCTCACACAGCCACAACACCTTACCGTTGGGCATGTGGCATCTGGCAAGAGTAGAAAGTCGACAACTGTCAGATTTTTGCTTTGTGATTATATTATAGGTACAGTCAAACATGCGTTACAGTCACACAGCCACAACACTTTCCCGTTGGGCATGTGGCATCTGTCGAGAGTAGAAAGTCGACAACTCTCAGATCTTTTCTTTGTGATTATATTATAGGTACAGTCAAACGTGCGTTAACACTGCAGTCACATAGCCACAACACTTTCCAGTTTGGCATGTGGCATCTGGCGGGAGTAGAAAGTCGACAACTGTCAGATCTTTGTGATTATATGTGAGCGTGCTGACAAAATGAGTTACTTCTCGCAATCCACAAATGGGGATATTGGCCTAAAATCGACATAAGGTTCAAATTAGTTGATTTTGTATTGATGCCACATTCTTTAACAATAATTAATTTGTCTTTTATCATTTCATACTTATAAATTGTAAAAACTACAGCTACAAGCATGATGTACCTTAAGGCTTTATTCTGGGCTCAGGTGAAAGTGACAGTAAAAAAAGCCAAAAAAGAGAAATGGACTCAAACCTGCAAAAATCTCGACCTCCGCCACAATGGAACAAAGACTTGGTCCCTTGTCAGCAACCTCTCGGGAGAAAGACAAAAAAGCAACCCCAAACCCTTTTTCCTTTCAGGCAGCACCATCACTGAAGACCAGAAGAAAGCCGAACATTTCAACCGTTTTTTCGCCTCTGTAAACAGGGCAGGCAGACTAACCGAGGCTGATAGACTTCTCATAAATAGGGCTAAGCATAAAGAAAAAGCTCCTACTGTGAACAACTCGCTTGTTGAAGAGGATTATAGCATGATGGGACTCAGTCAGGTCCTCAAAAAGTTAAATGAAAAGAAAGCACCAGGACCAGATAAAATACACAACGAAATGCTGTGCCACCTTGGTGCTAAAGGAAAAGAAGTTCTTCTTTCCCTGATAAACACCACGTGGAGAACGAGTGGAATACCAAAGGCATGGAGGATCGCCCAGATTACACCACTCCTGAAAAATGGGAAACCACCTGGAGAAGCGAAAAGCTACCGACCCATCTCATTAACATCATGTATCGGTAAGCTTGCGGAAAAAATGATAAACAACCGCCTCTACTGATACCTGGAAAATACGAACAGCTTAAACCCACACCAAGCAGGCTTCAGAAAAGGCAGCAACACAGAAGATCAACTTTTTAAACTGAGTCAAAACATCCAGGATGGATTTCAGGAGAGTAAACACACCGTCGCCATCTTTGTAGATCTCCAACAGGCGTACGACAGAGTGTGGAGAAAAGGCCTACTCATGAAATTGATGGACCTCGGGATACATGGCAAACTTTACAAATGGATCAAGTTCTTCCTGTCGGATCGAAACATTGAAACCAAGGAAAACAATGCCCACTCGTCTAGAGAATTCCTTGAGGAAGGCCTACCTCAAGGTTCCTGTCTGAGTTGCACTTTGTTCCTGATCTTCTTTAATGATGTAATGAATGTGCTGAAATCAGAAAAGACTCTTTATGCCGATGATCTTGCTCTCTGGCAGACACATCACAGCACGATAGTAGGAGCAGGGAAATTAAATGAAGACCTCAAGAGGCTCCATAATTACTGTCAGAAATGGAAACTTAAAATAAACTGCACGAAAACAGTATACACCATCTTTACAAAGAGCCATAAAGCAGCCAAAGAAAATCTCAAACTAAAGATAGGAAATGAAAGTCTCCCCAAAGAAGAACATCCAACTTACCTAGGAGTCAAACTTTACCGTAGTCTAACCATGAAAAGCCAAGTGGAGAACATAAGGAACAAGGCTAAAAAAAGACTCCAACTTTTAAAGAAACTCGCAAGCAGTTCATGGGGATCAGACAAACAAACTCTGAGAGCTCTATACCTGGGTTATGTCCGATCTTCCCTGGAATACAGCAATAGCCTACTCACAATGTGCAGTACAACTACTTGCAACACCCTTGACAAGGTCCAAAACAATGCCCTTCGTTTTATAAATGGTGGCATGAGATCCACACCTACCGCCCCGTGCGAAATCCTTGCAAATGTTGAACCCCTGGGAATCCGCAGAGATAGAACAGTTTTGGAGCTACATGAAAGAACTAAAAGAATGTGCCCCAACCACCCAAACAGGAAATTAGTAGAAACATGGAAACCAAAGAAACGAATTCAACAAAAGTCAATCATGCATCACATCACAGAACTAATGGAGAGCCACCATCTACCACAAAACAGAAAAGAAACCAAAAGAGTCAACCAAAACACCCCTCCCCACCTTTCTTTAAAAAAGCGAATCATTACAACATCTCTCAAAGACAAGAGCACAAAATCTTCAGACCCAGTGACACTGATGCTTGCATCATACCAAACAATCGACAGCTATTCAGATGACTGGATACACGTCTATACAGACGGCTCAGCATTCAAAGGCACAACCAAGGCCGGATATGGAATACTAATACAGTACCCAGATGGAAGTTCCAATGAGATCTCTGCAGCCTGTGGAGAGAAATGCAGCAACTACGATGCAGAAATGATGGCAATTGAAACAGCACTGTACCATCTCCGCACAGTTTTTGACACTCATCCTGGAAAAGCACAGAGTATTGTGATTTTCACTGACTCACTATCAGTATTACAAGCCATAGAAAATGACCATCATCTAAACCAAGATTTGACTCATATACTGTTTGGCTCCCATCATCTGATAACATTCTGTGGCATCAACCTAGTAATGCAGTGGGTCCCCGGACACTCAGACATACCTGGACATGACAGAGCAGACACACTCGCCACACGGGGATCTAGACAGGAACAACCCAACACTCCAACTTCATACAACACTGCAAAACAAATCATCAAAAGCAACAACAAACAAGATTGGATGAACAGATGGGCCCTGGGAAAGACAGGCAGAGCAGTTTTCAAACATATGACCACAACAAAAAGGAATGACAATATCAACCGCCTTCAGAGAAAGAAACAGACCACGATCTTCCGCCTACGAACAGAACATATACAGCTCAACTTCCACCAGAACAGAATAAATCCGGAACTTCCCCCAATGTGTCCCTTTTGTGACTATACATATGAGACTGTGGATCATCACCTGTTCAACTACACAGCCCTAAATGACATCAGAGCTACCCTTCTCCATCCGAGACCTAACATAGACAACACACTCTATGGAACATTACAGCAACTGCAGCAGACCTGCACTTATCACTACATGGCGTTGGACAGAAGGGCGAGAGCCCAGCTGTTGCTGGATCGATAACAACAACAACAACAACATTCTGGGAAGTAACTCATTTTGTCAGCACGCTTCACATATTATAGGTACAGTAGAACCTGCTCCAATGACCACCTGTCCACCACAATCACATGCAGCTTAAAAATGACCACTTCCCACTTCCCCCTTGAGTTTTTTCTATAACTATCCAAGAGGACCACGTGTCTAAGATGACCATTTTTCTTCTCAATAATGGGCGGTTGTCTTGGACAGGTTAATCTATTGGCATTGGTTTAATGCCCCTTTCAACACACTTTTGTTTCATTTAAACTGCTGGATGTGAGCATAGGCCTCAGCATAACTATCTTTATTCCCACTCTGTGCTCCTCATGCTTGCCGTGGTATAATATTATTAACATAGAAACTTTGAAAACTCCTTAAAGAAATCGACGTTAAAAAATGACTGTGGATAATGAGGATACGAACCACAACCATCCGCACCCTAGCTCAGCACACTACCAATTGAGTTAATGGCAAGCTCAAAAAGGCTTAGACATAGAAATCCATTTACAGTGGTTGCTCTCAGTTAAAAGCGCAATAAAAGTACAAAAACTGCCTCACTGACGACATTTCAAAGCTGGTGTTTGTTCCCTTGTTTATTTTGTTAGAGGTTTTACGGCGCTCGCAACTGCATAAGGTCATATGAGTGCCAGAAGATTAGACGTGTTACAAGAGAGTAACAAACATTAAAAAGAAGAAGGACGATAGATGTTTGATAGGGAAGAAGGAGAAAACCACACCTGAGCACCCACCAACCACCCGCTGTTTGTTCCCTCACTGTATGTCAGGTGTCATATATATATATATATATATTCTGTATATATTCAAGACACTAATCATTCGATTTGATATTCTGCACAAAACGACTCAAAAACAATATTCAGGCATTGACATAGTTTGTGTGACAGCCACATTCATTTCTGCAGAAACAAGACGAAACAAAACAAAACAACCAAACAACCTCTTCAGGCCACCGTAGGTCAGGTTTGGATCCATCTCCGACACAGTGTCCACAAGCATGCCGTACTCGCTGTGAAAATCTGGGTTTGCACGGGGACACCACTGGAGAGAGAGAGGGAATGTGAGCGTATGTGTGTGTGTGGGGGGGGGGGGGGGGGAGGGAGGGAGGGATGTGGTATGAAAATAAGAAACGCATGACATAAAGGTAGATACAAACCAAACACAAATCCAGTCAAACCTTTCCAAGACGGCTATTCATTGTCGAGGAGATATTCTTGTGTAAGACAGAGGGGTAACCTGGACGGTGTTGTTAGAATATGAAAAAACCCCCGTCCCCGTCGTTTTATGCAAAAAAAATTCTGAAATTATGCAAACTGAGCCCAAAAACGTGAAATTATGTGATTCTATTACTTTTAACAAAGAATGATAAAGGAAAATAATCAGAAATTATGCGAAAAATGCTCAAATTTTGCTAAATTATGCAGGGTGCATAAAACCACGGGGACAGGAAAAAAGGCAATGGAGAAATGAAGTGGTAGTTTATACAGGACACTGTCTATGCCAGGCTTGGCTGTATGCAACAAGCACACGTAACAAATATGTGACAGACATTCTTTTAAAAAAACTCTACTTCCTGCTTCATATTCTTAGGAATAATTGATATAAGAGCTGGTGATAAGAATCTCTATAGAAAGCATAATGTATTTACTTAGTTATTGTGCATATAAGCCTCTATGCAAGAAGAATGTAAATTCATAGAGTAAAACTTTTCACTTTTCATATCTGATAGGGGCATGGTGGAAATACACCTAGCATGCAATTCCTGAAAAGCATTTTTTTGGGGTGGAACATTTTTAGGTACATATTAATTAATGATATTCTACTTTGGCGAGCTTCAGTCTAGTAAATTCATTTCACTACCCATTTATTTCCTCATTGATATATTTTGTTATATATTCCCTACAAAGTCTGCTTGCAGTCCCTAGTCCTAGTACCGCTGGTTCAATCAAATGCCAAACACAGTTAATGTAGAAATTTAACATAAATAACATCATTATAACTAGCATCTGTGGTATAGCATGTAGGGACTCTGCCATTGCACGCACAAGACCTAAGTTTGGTTCCCACGTGGAGAGAATTTCTATAGAGTATTTCAGTCTTCCTGCTAAGTCATTGCATCCCTTTTTTTGTTTTTGTTAGAGATTTACGGCACTTGCAACACAAATAAACATGTATGTAGGTCATAAGAGTGCCACAGATTAGAGGTATTCCTACTACAGAGTAACATACAGAAAAAAGAAGGAGAGAAAAAGGTTGACAGATGTTTCATAGAATCTGGAAAGAAAAAGCAAGCCATACCAGAGCACCCACCAACCACCCACACTATATCCCTCTCATCTAACGACTCACGAGAACTGTAAAAACTCACCTCCTCCATTTTCCTGCGCATCCTCTCCCCCTGCGGCGTGTTCAAGATCCCCAGGTTTATCTTGGTGTGTTTGAGGATGGCGTGTATGCGGGCCAGGTATGGTGAGGAGTCCTTGAGGAACTCATCTAGGGCAGCACCCTCTTTGTGAGGAAAGTCCACAGCGAGAGGACTCTCGTGCCATCCCTGAAGTAGAATGAAAACTCAGTCATATACGTATATTTATATGTGAGGACTTCTGGTGAAATCAGGCGCTCGTCAATTTTTGGGCATGTAGAGTTATTGGTATCACCTATAAGCTTGTTCATTTGCATTGCTTTCGATGAAAGAATTACCCTTTTATCTTGGGTATATGTCAAGATATTTGCGATTGAATGAGGTGGGGTCACCTGGTTTCAGAGGTAAAATTAGTGAGAAAATGGCTGCCAAAGTTTGGTTATTTACAAAGTCTTAGAGTCTGTGGAAACTGACAATTTACACTCTTTATGCCTTTAATCAATGTTTTTCAATATAATTCACACTGAAATGGGTTCTTAAAAGGACATAGGTATAGAGCTATAAAATACAATTTCGATAAAAATTGCCAAACCAGTGGAAAAGTGTATGTTTCTTTACTTTCATTACTTACACTGTTGTAACTTACAGTAGTAGTAATTCTTATTGACAAGAACAGAAATGCATAAACACTGTTAAGAAGAAATCTTGGAGCTATTAAAAAACTCAAAACTTTTCCTTCACGTTATAAACACAAGAAATTCCCTCACTTCACCTAGGTGGGAATGGGTACTCCACCCTAGACTGTAAAAGATCTTGTCAGTATGTTAGTGTTTTAGCGGCTTTAAATAGTAGCTAGCACAATAAGCTTCCCAGGAAGTTGAGATTGTTTCAGAATGCTCTCAGGTCTCCTGGGATAATAGTATAGATTGTGAAGCGCATAGAGCTTGCTGTCGAGTGGGGATTTGTGCTATACAAATGCTATCTGTTATTATTACTTACTTACTTTACTTTTACTTTTTCATCCTCTGTTGCCGTTAAGCGTCGAGGGGAGATGCAGTTTTCTATTTTAGGCCAGCTCCACAGCTCTTTCAGTAGTGATGTTATGTTTTCTTAGGGTTTCCTTGACACCCTCGATCCACCTTTTGCGTGGCCTTCCTCTTCCTTTACAGCCTGAGTGCTTGGGGTTGTAGGCTCTCGAGGCTGGCTGGTCAGGTGACATACGTAACAGGTGGCCAAACCGTTTTATTCTCTGTCTTTCTATGTAATGTAGGCAGGACTAAGTGCCGATAGCTGCTCTTACTTCTTCATTTCTCTGCCTGTCTCGTTACTATAACTACCATTATATCATTGATGGCGGGGTAAAACATCTAACCCTGATGTAACTGGAAATTCTCACCTGTTCGTGCTCACACAGCAGCCTAAAGCAGTACTTGTTGCTTTTCTCCACTCCCTCCGCATCTGTCGCCATCTGAAATACCAGAGAGAGAGAAAACAAAGAAAAAATTAAAAACTTACTCTCTCAGGAAGTAAGTGTAAGTGTAAGTATATGGCTTTTTTTAGTAAGAGTTTTATGGTACCAGCGACACAACAAGGTCATATATAAGTGTTGATGGCTTTAACCCTTTCACTACCAGCAACACAACAAGGTCATATATAAGTGTTGATGGCTTTAACCCTTTCACTACCAGCAACACAACAAGGTCAAATATAAGTGTTGATGGCTTTAACCCTTTCACTACCAGCAACACAACAATGTCATATATAAGTGTTGATGGCTTTAACCCTTTCACTACCAGCAACACAACAAGGTCATATATAAGTGTTGATGGCTTTAACCCTTTCACTACCAGCAACACAACAAGGTCATATATAAGTGTTGATGGCTTTAACCCTTTCACTACCAGCAACACAACAAGGTCAAATATAAGTGTTGATGGCTTTAACCCTTTCACTACCAGACCTGCTCTTCAATCCTGGCAAATAGCTCAAGAGGGTGCCAAGCCTGGCAGCGAAGAGGTTAACGCCTCTTTCAACGCGATTAGGTTAACGAAGAGGCGGGACCAGTGAACATAACGTCTGTCTCTGAGAAGATCAAGCAGAGGAATCAGGCGCTCGTCAGTTTTTGGGCATGTGGAGTTATTGGTATCATCTTAAAGCTTATTCATTTGCCTTGCTTTCAATGAAAAAAATACCCATCTATCTAGAATAGAAGTCGGGATATTTGTGACTGAAGAAGGCGGGGATTGCCTGGTTTCTGGGGCAAAATTGGCGAGAAAAAAAGTTTGGCAGCTTCAATAGCTTGAGAGTCCTTGAAAACTGAAAGATTAACTTACATATTTTGTGCCTTTTATCAAGATTTTCAATAAAATTCACATGGAAATGTGTTTTTATATGGACACAAAAGGTATTGAGCCGAAAAACAAAAAAAACCCAAAAAAATTTGACCAAAATGGCCAAACTGGTGGAAAAATGCCTGTTTCATCGATTTCATTATTCTGAGGAGCGCTTCATTTCACCATGATGCCTCACATATAGAGTTTTTAAAAAATCCTACCTCTTCTACCACAGCTTTCCTCTCACTCTCAACATCTTCGCTCTGAGTTTCTTCTTTCTGAAAAAAAGATATTGAAAGAATAAGAACTTGGACAAAAACAAAAACAGACCTGTATGAAAATGAAAAAGTGAAAAGGATGAGGAGACAAACTGAGATCTTGAATAGCCTCAGAGACAAAAGTTGAGTCTCCAATACGTGAAACAAGAGATAAAAGTCTCCAATTCGTGAAAAAAGAGATAAAAGTCTCCAATACGTGAAACAAGAGATAAAAGTCTCCAATACGTGAAACAAGAGATAAAAGTCTCCAATACGTGAAACAAGAGATAAAAGTCTCCAATACGTGAAACAAGACATAAAAGTCTCCAATACGTGAAACAAGAGATAAAAATGGTGGAGCACAGCTCAACCTGTTAATCCTATCCATACATCGTGTTTTACTATCGTATCCATACGACGTGGGGAACTCTGTGTCACCACTTAACCCTATCCGTACGTTGTGTTTTATTATCGTATCCATACGACGTGGGGAACTCTGAGCCACCACTTTCAAAGAGGAAATTTATTCCTTAATCTGATCCTCACGCTTTGCATAACAGTCTGTCAAAATGATTTTTTGAGAAAAACTGAAAGTTTCAAAGAGATCTTCGTACTAGAAGTATTCCAAAATGTGAAGAATACAACCCTGGGGGTACAAAATGACCCCAGGGCGTACGGGCAGGGTTAAAGAAAACTACCCGTAGTCAAAGAGAAAGGTGGTCTTCTTACAGTAGTATCATCAAGGTGTGGAAAAAAAAATGCAAGAGGGGAAATGCTAAGTGGTGCTCTGCGATTGTCTTGGATAGGTGGTCATTGTAGCAGGTTCGTAGAATCTCACTGACACAATTTAGATCTGCACCTGGTCTTTTTCTACCTTTACTACCTATTTTCACACATGTTGTGATTTTCTACCACAATGCGACTAGTTTGAGTGCTCACACAAACAAATCGATCAGCATCTTACTGAATTTTAGCCGATTTAGGGTAACACGCTAGGCGCCCGGATGCGTAAAATTGTGGAACCACATTTGCTTACTGAAAGAGTTAGGATGGCAGACCACTTCCACCTTGCCTGCCAGGGCCAACCTAGGTAGAGAGGGATCCAAGCACACAGTCACAGGTTCTTGATTACCCCCCCCCCCCCACACACACACACCCAGGAATCAAATTCCTACCTTTTCAGTAGCTTCCTTTGCTTCTTTGTCTTCACTGGACTGGCTGCTCTGAGGGGGCTGATCCTGGCTCTTGAAGTCGATGAGCACCAGACGTGGGTAGTCGGGGCCGTCAGCGTACGTCGTGATGTGCCGCAGGAACTTCCTCTGGCTCAGCTCCAGCACTTCCTGTATACGCGTATCAAATAACAGAGACAGGAACGTAAAACAACAGTACCTTTTTCTTCTTCCTCTTTGTTCTTTACAACAGTACCGGTAGTAAACTTTTCGTAGAAGGCTGGTAAAGCCCCCCCAAAATTGTAAAAGTACAGTATAAATCCCCTCCACATCTTTGAAAACAGAAACAAGAACATAAAACAATATTTTTTTGGTATTTAACCCCCGTACATGGCGAAATTTGTACATAACAAAAAGATTTCTGAATCCCATTGATTTCACTATGTGTGTACTAGACTGCATTATTATTTTTAAACAATGATGAGTGGCCTTGGGGATTATAGCATGACCAACCC